AATGCCAAGTTTGTCGTCAATGTTCTTCTTGTAATAAATATATACGTTTTTATCCTTTAAAATCCGTTTTTTTTAAATTGCTGTTCTTAAAATTTTCAACTATATCGATAGAAAATATATCAAAGAGACTTACCGGGATATTAAATGATGCTGGACATTTTGGACATCTGTGTGGTTTTTCCTCAGCATGATTTTCCATATGTCTGCGGTACAACGTCTGCTTAGTAAATTCTTGTCTGCATATATCACACTTCAGAGGCTGCGTATTCTACAACAAAGGTAATAACATACAACTCTTAGTTGAAAATTCCTCAGATGGAAATATTTCTGGTGTTAATATGTTCGCGATGTTACCCCAGTTTTTCTTGGTCTCCCGAGTGATTTTTTAAAAATATCTTGTGCCATAGAAACAGGGACAGATTCGTCTTTAGCATAAATGTCGATTGCCGTTTGTTCACGTTCGCCTGATAATATACTACTATCCCCGGCTGATAGAAAAGATTCCGTGACAGCACACTCATTCGCATCCTGAAGTTTCATTTGCTCAATAATTACAGACGCATTATCAAATTGCTGCATTGGCAGTATATTGGTTTGTTGTACCCCAGTGCCTTGCACACCTTCAAAGTTCAACTGGAAAATAGACTGTAACATAAATATTTATACATTTAATAAATAAGTTGCACTTCTTGCTATTTTATGATCTAAAAAGATCCTATTAAATACATACAGGATGCAAAATGAAATTGCCATCCATAGTCTTGATTAATGTCGAAGACATCATGTTATTTTGTGGCATCAGCGCTATAGGAGCTGTTATGATTTCCAAAGTGCCATCTTCACGTTCTACAAACAGATTATATTTTCAATAGATCATAGAATGAAATATATTATTATCATATATATTATTATATATATCACATACAGTTTGCATGTGTGTATTTAATTATTTAAAACTCCAATTATATCTTCATATATATATTACTAGTGTACATATAAAATGAATTTCCAATATATACTGGAACTTTTAATTTTTATATACATACAGAAAAATATATATAGAATATTTATTATAATTATTTATTTCATATGTATTATTAGCTTTATATATATATATATATATATATATATATATATATATATATATATATATATATATATATATGTGTGTGTGTGTGTGTAAATTATCTATATTGCTTTCTGTAACATAACATCACAATTTTATTGTCTTACCAGCCATTGCTAAAAGAGTATGGCCATCATCTGTACTTATAAAACCAATCAGTGGTACTGTATCACCGGTGTCAGCAGACTCCATGATTACATTCTGCTCTGCCAACATGTTGACAGACATACTCTTGACCGAATGATAAAAAGTCGCTATGTATACAATAGTATTCTTCACACAAAAATAAATATTCCAGCTACTCCTTCATGTAACTTATTACTCACTGCTGTTTGTAGCACACTTGACAGCTGTATTTCCTATAATATAACTGATTGCAGTATTACAGAATTAATTATATATTAATATCTGATACAATTCTAACCTATTCGCCATATATCTTGATTTATGAACGCAAATGCAGTACAAACACTGAAATCTTATTAAACATACCTTATGCATATAGTAACGAGGAAAATGCTGTATAGATAAGACTGAGTATTACAAGATTCCTCCTGCAAGCTAAAATTCGGTATTCGCTCCAAAGATCCTTATCTGCTTCGTATAACGCGATCGCTCCATATGTCGTTTTACCTCACTGCTCTCCTTCTTTCTCTTACCGGTCCATTGTTTCGGTGAAAACGTACATCATTTGAAGTCGATGTTTTGAGCTCGTCGCAGACGCGACACATCTCTCCTTTCCTGTGAATAAATCTTCGTTTGATCGCGCCGGCCCGATTATTCTTCTTCCTGTCAACCACTCTTGTCAACATGGGTCAACGTCACCGCTCGCCGCCACTGCTGTTCGCCATCGCACATTTACAAAGTAACGGGTATGATTAGTTATGCATGAATCGCAATTAGAATTTTATACAAAAATGTATAATGAAAATTATAATTTTGTAGTCGCAGAAAAATATGTCTTATATTTACAGTATGTTTGATAAGAGCGTGTACGGCAAAACTTTTCCTCGAAACCGTTAGAGGGGGGATATGAACGCGAGCCAATAGCGGGGCTCTTCTCCCAAGATGCTTTGTCTAGAAAGCCTTAGTTATCGTTTGACTTTCGTCACAAAAGTGCGTATTTCAACATGAGTGCCGCGTACGCATCACGTTACGAAGCTGTGTTTCTATCTTCGCATCCGAAAGGACCAAAAATGTCGCGCGGAGCAGCTGCTAAGTATATGAAGAAGTCTAAGGCGTTTGTGAGTAAGTGGGTGAAACGTTATTCCGAGGTCAAAAACGTTGATGACTTGCCGGATCGTCGCTCTGTGCAGAAAACGACGAAAAAGGAGGACAAAATGATTTTACGGATGTTTGAGAAGAATCCTTGTTTATCATTGCGTGGCAGGCAAGCGG